AACTAAACCAAAACTTTTAACAGCATCTTACAGTAAGTTGTTCTAGTATTGGTCTTTGTATTAAATGAATAATTCAACATTTTAGGAAATATGTTTATTCACTTTAATGTCAAGAGTTCAATTCGAAGAACTACATCTGCCTGTTCAATGCAATGGAGCGAAGAGCTGGTTAGCATTGATTAGCATCAAGACTAGAAACAGCTAGCCTGGCTCTGTCCAATGGTAATAAAATCTGCTAACCAAGCACCTCTAAAGCTCCCTGATTAGCACGTTTATGTTGTTTGTGTAAAACCGAAGCACATAACTGCTAGGTGAATTGCGTAACCTTCAAACAGAGACAAGCTAGCTGTTTCCCCCTGCTTCAAGTCTTAGGCTAAGCTAATTGGCTTTCGACTCTATAGACGCTTTCATCAGACGCGTTGCCAAGTTGATGTCCAGCCCGAAGTCAACTTCTGTTCTGTTTGTTTATTACTGGGTTTGTGTTTACTGGCTAATATGGTGAGTGATATCCAGTACAGTGTTTCCCATAAATTAATTTATTTGTGGTGGCCCACCACATTATCAGCGCTGACCGCCACATATTGATTTCCATTTTGGGATGGGAAAACTTGTATATGATTGCAGCACATATTTACTCAGCACCTCCTCTCACTCGCTCCCCCCACCTCTCTCTCCCGCAAACAAATTGACAGCGGACCAGTCTGCGTATTGAATGGTTAGTATCATGACCACCGCTGCACAAATGCGTCCAACGTCAGTGTCGGAGATGCCAACAATGAATGTATCCTACTAACGTCAAAGCCTAATATCTCCATTGTTGTCCAAAATCAACACTGGGTGACATGTTCCTTCATCATGGTCCCCAAAAAAGACACTATTTCCCACTATTTGTTTGTTAAAACTATAGTGACCAGCTGTTTTAAAAATCTCCCAATGGGTTGGGGCCACACGCAAGTTAGGGAAGTCAGAAAGTATCGAGAGAGACAAACACATTTATGTTTTTTGGTCTTTTCATGGTATTAAATGTCAATAAGAAAAATATTGCCAGCTGATCCAATGAACTGCATCATCTTGGATTTAGCTGTCTAATTCTGGATCATAATTATTTGTGCCCCTCAAATCTGCTGACCAATCACTGCTCTTCATTCTACACTCTGTTGAAATCAAAGTATCCGTGCCTTTATTTGTTGATTATTTATATGTATTTACCCAATTATATTTATCATTTTTCAGCACATTTGTTGTTTTTAAATGCAATAAATAAATTCACTTATAACATAATGAAAGTGTCTTACTGATGAAAAGCGTTTATGTGATCATGGTACAAAGGTCAGTTTTCTTGAATTACTGATGTAAACAAACCTTTAAGGATCAGACTATGAATGAGTTGCTGTGTAATGTTTATTTGTCTGTCCTAGACCTGTCAATAAATTTTACAGCAACAGCAGCTTTCACTCATTTTGTTTACATTTGGATCATTAAGTGTGCCTTTAAGTGATCCACTCCACATGGTTGTTGGCTATAAGGCTATGAAAAATCTCTCTGCACAAAACCTGTTCAGGGTCAACAATGGCACTTGAAACTGACATGTCATTCATCACTGAAAACAAATCCAATCATCTGACAGAGAAGGAGAAGTTTCTTTGGGCCCGCTGCCCTCTCTGTCCACTCCCCCATACTTTCTCCTGACCTTTGACCCCTGAGACTCAGACAGTAAAGTGTTTGTCTGAACGGACCATCTGCCTCTTCCTAACCTCAGCTTTTAACAACATCTACATTCCTCTGGCTGAAACCTGCTTCCGTTTGTAGAGGGCTTCTGGATACATCACTGTTTATTTTGATTGGCCACAAGTACACAAAGGAAACGTTATTACATAATATTTTAGAGCTGCGCTTTGCCATCAGAAGGAAATGAAAGTACAGACAGGACAGAGTTCACTTTTGGGTTGATGCATGGTGATGACTTTGCAAAGGCTAAAGTACGAAAAAGATGTAAAGAATTCACAAATATGTTGCCATTAGCGAAAACCTTGCATAATGTTAAGTGTGTTGATTTCTGTGTTTCTGCCTTTTAACTGATGTCTTTGACATTTTAGGTTCATGAAATCCTTTTAAAACAAAAAAAAACATTAAGTCGAAACCACATTGACTTCAAGCTGTTTCCCCCTTCTTCCAGCCTTTATGTTTAGCTTATCTAATGTTGCTAACTGCTGTCTATCTCTTTTCTCAGAGAGAAGCAAATAAAGGTTTTTTCTAAAATGTGAAACCAGTCTTTTTCGTGGTGTAATTTACTCTTCTACCAAAGGTAACTCAGTTTAAATCCAGACTAAAGGGCCGTGGGTGGCTCAGTTGGTAGAGTGCGCACCCCATGTACAGGGCTGAGCCCTTGCTGCAGCGGCCCAGGCTTCGAGACCACCCTGTGGCCCTTTGCTGTGTATCCTCCAAGCGGGAAGCTTCCTGTCGGCAAACTGATGCGAACGCGGAAGTCCCTTAAACTATCGAGTGGGACTTCTATCGAACGGCCAGCAGGGTGCGACTCTTCTGGTTGCAAAAAGAAGTCCCACTCCATTAGAAATAATGGGAAAAGGACCCTACTTCTCATCTGAATAATTACCCCAGTAAACACTTTCCTAATGAGTTTATGGTCTCAGTCGCTAGTTTCAGGTCTTCTTCTAGCTAAGCAAGCGAACTAGACTATCGGCCAAACTCGAGACTTCAAAATGGCAGTCCACAAACCAACAGGTGACGTCACGATGACTACGTCCACTTCTATATACAGTCTATGGTGTCCTCCCCTCTCTCTCCCCCGTTTCCAGACACTATCCACTATCCTATCACTCTCAAATAAAGCCCCCCAAAAATAATCCAGACTAATGAATTTTAACCTAATATCTAGACTTTTTTTTGTACCTCAAATCACATAATTAATACCTCAGTGGAATTCTTTACTTCTGTAAATATCTGTTGATTAAAATAGGATCTTACACAAAAACCAGCACGCACAACATACCAGGATCCCAGATTGCCCAGTGTGATTAGCCCGGTGATAACACAGTGGGAACTCTCCTTTAGGGTTAATCATGGCCGACTGAGTGCACCACTGTTGTTTTGGAGCTGTCTGCTGCTGCCAACAGTAATCACTCCTCTCATTACAGTAGCCTCAGGTCAAATAATTACTCTAAACATGAAATGCAAAATAATGGGGAATCTGACTGTTCTGTTCCGACGTGGCAAATTGCTTCCCAGACTATCGTCTGCTTTTAACGTGGGAAACAGGAAACACTTGTCTGCTCCCAAAAACGTCAGTGAGCTACAAATATTCTATGTCCTTTGTTAATTCTTCTGTCCATCCAGCAGAGGAAAAGAATCAGGTGTTTTTCTGTAAACAAGCAATAATTACTCTTTCATCAGCTCCTTGTCCATCCTGCCACCCCTCTGTTGTGACAGGCATGTTTACAATAAGTAGGCAGTCCTGCACTTTCAAAGAATGAACTTCAAAATCCCATCATAAATGTATAATTCTGTGGCTTTGTTATTAAAATGCTATGGCCACAATATTTTCCAATTAGTTGCAGTAGAGGGGAAACTATGTATGGTGGGTGCAGCTCACAAAGGTGAGCTGAAATAAAGAGATTTCATATTAACATTTTTGCTGTTAAATTTAAAGTTAATTTGATTAAAAACATGCTTGACTTGATAAACATCATAAACATTTTTAAAAATACCCCTTAAATAACAGACTTGAGCTGCTTCCTCATCTTTATAGATTGGCCAAGGTGTTAACCGCAGGCCATACCCACAAACAGACACCTAAATGACAGCATAATTTAATTAAGTTTGTCAATGCCCAAGTTCAGGCTAAAATGTTGGCTAAAACTACTTTGTTAAGGTTTGGGATATAGGTCGCAGTCATGGAAAAAAGAAGTCAATGTCAGTGACAGAGCATCACGCATCGCCCAACCATCCACTTTGACTTTTTCCATAATACTTTTTTCAGCACCATAACAACTTCATTTTACTTACAGTAAGTAGTTTTAAGCATTTAAAAAACAACCAATGTTGTGAATAAAATGTAGAAGATTGCACGTTTTCTACGATAATATGGATCCAGAGTGTGATAGTACAGCACATTATGTTGTATTAGTTGACAAACAATCAATGAAAAAGTGTTTGCAATATTGTGCACACAGATGGACAATGGTATTTCAGGTTATTTAAAGTATTTAATTCTGCATATATTGATTAATGAGTTTTTAAAGATTTATAGATATAGGATTGTAATCCATTATAATAGACATAAATCTGCACCTTTCATAAAATATGACTTGCACTGTCATTTCATCTGTTGTCTTTGCTTCCTCAGCGGGAAAAGCACAAATAATTTGTAACTACGACAGGAACATGGCAGCCACTTGGATCAGATATGACACTGAGAGACGCTTGTGGTTTTTGACACTACAGTAAATTCCTTCTGCAGCTGTGTGGTACATATCTCCTCAGGCAGGATGTCCCAGCAACAAAAGACCCTCCCCTCTCCTCCTGTCCCCTCCCAGAACAGGACGTGAGTGGACATCCTGCCAGCAGTGGTCTCTTCCTCTGTTACCGTCAACTATTATTAGTAGACAGCCCGTATCAGCTGTCATGAATGGGCCTGAAATGATATCCCAGTCCATTTTACCAACTCCTCCAACCACTTTTTACCTCAAACCTAAAAATAATAAACACAAAAGTCCAGAAACAAGCCATCTGTCTGCGTCTAGCCAGACAAGACTTACCAAAAACAGAGTCGGGCCCACATCTCCAGCCAATAGCAACACAGTACAGGCCAGGTGTGTATATGTGCGTGTGTTTTTTGTATTTTAAGCCAAGAGGACATTCCAGCTGGCTTTTCAACCCTGTCTGGCAGCATTCAGAAGTGTTTGGGTTTAAAGATTAGTGCTTTTGCCAGTCACACAGACACATACATGCATATGATCCTGCACACTCTTGGGAAAGCGTACCTTGTGTCCAGCTGTGTTGGTCCCACTGCCGGGCAGCCCTAAGCTGGGAAGACTCTGAGAAATGTTTCACTGTGAAGAGAAAGAAGATGCTGATAAGATCAAAAAATTCAGACACATCGAGTAGTGTCCATTTTGAAATGATCTCTTACCGTAAGGTGTTGGAGGAGACACTGGAAAGGCCGGGGTAGGGGGGACGCTATCGGTGTGTCCCCGGTAGTCTACACTGTTGGTTTTGTAGAGATGCTCATGCTTTAAAAAAGAAGAACAGAATAAAGAAGTAAGAAATAAAGGAAAAAGAACAAGGCTTATGGGATAACAAGCCCCCCCACACACACACATACACGCTCTCTAGTCTTGTGATCTGTGTGTGGCTACAGCCTGTGTTTTGGTGTAAACAGTCGGGCCATTCATGCCACCCAGCCATAAGAATGAGAGCAAGAGCAGAAACCTCAACCTCTTTAAAAAAAGAAAAGAGACACTCAGAGAGATCCTTCAACTAATTTTAAACTCTGTGTTATCTTTTTCTTTAATATAATTTTTTGACACACAAATTTAATTTAAAGTCTGTGAGAGTTGTGTCATTTAACTCAGAGTAATGTGATTTAATCTGAAGGGGGCTGTTGTCAAGGCCACATAAACTGAGTCTCACACGAGCAAGTCCTTGCAGTATCAAACTAGGGTCAAGACAGTGAGAGCAAATGGGAGTCCGAATCTAGACTGACGTTAAACACGCTCAAGAAAAAGTCAAAAGCGATTTGAAACACAATAAAAATAGGAAACAATGTCAAATAAGATATTGCATTACTTTTGTAATTGTGATTACAATTCAATATAATATTCTTGCTCAATGTTCACATAAAACTACACTAAAATGAGGATGCTTGGTTGTTACATGGCAGAGAAACATAATCACTTCACTTAACATTCAAATCTACCAATACAGACGTAGAAATTAATCTAATCTAATTCTCAGCAAGAAAACAAATATTCCCAATGTATAAAATTCCCCTTTCCTTCTGCTTGCTGGTCTTTTTGTTTTTTTAGATTCTCAGTATTTGGTGGGGCAACATTCTAGCTTCTCCTTCAGCTCTGTTTTTCCTGAGGGAAATATCTGACTCTCTAGCTGCTAAATGCTCTAACTGCTGTCTGCTGTTTGCTGCTGGGTAGGTAGTGTGTAGTGAGTTTCTAGAGCTTTGTTACTGAAAACAAAAACAGATGCTGTGAGAGCAGTCGGAGTGAACCAAAACAGTAAAGTTTTGGGCCAGACAGATAAACAACGAGCTGAAAGTCACTATAAAGCTCCGTAAAGCCGATCCAGGTGATTATTCTCTGTAGGTTCATCACTACAAGCAACTCCTTTCATATTGTCACATTATTTTTTCATTGTCACTTGATATATAACACATACATAAAATATTAGTTATAGGTGCTTTATATTAAATGGCTTTTTGTAGTTATAGCCTATTATGTGTGAAGTTTGACTACCAGCAGTCAAAGTGGCCGTCAGGAGAGTTGAACAGGGGAAACTGTGTTTACCTGAGATGGTGAGATTGAGGGACTGTACACTGGAGAGCCTCTGAAACTCTGAGCACCAGCCGCTCTCCATCCTGGACTATGGAGACCAGCATAGTCTGTCACTCACTGACCTGCTTCTGTTGCCTCCATCCTGATCAGGAGCAGAGAGATTAGGAGAGGGGTGAGGGAGGGGAGGGCAAGAGTGCGGGAGGCAGAAAAGGAGAGCCAGACGGTCAGACAGATTACGATCTGAAATATAATCAAACCAATGAATCAAACTCAGCCATGCCTGAAATTAAATATCCATAAACAGTTACAAAACAAACACAACCTTTAATTTTATTGACACTTTGTCATGACCAGATGCCAACATGGCAATAAAAGGTGATGACAGTGGTGCATGTTTAGTGTGTTTGTCTCTGACAAAAGTGTTGATTAGTATTTTTTGTCAGCAGAGTGTAGCTCCTATCATCACAGCAGAGACTGTGTGACCAAGCTTCACTTCCCAGTGACCAGATGGTGGAACATCATGGCGGTTTGTCGGAAAAACATGTCATTCAAAAATCAGTTGTTATCTTTTCAGCCTTTTTTTTTTAGTTTGACATCCACATTTTAGTTTTATCTAATTGGTTTTGAAAAATACTCATAGAATCAACAAATTGATAGAAAAGTGTTAGGGCTCTATCGGCTTATTTTAACATAATCTCACTTTTGGACTATATGGCGCCCGATAAATAACAATAAATACCACTAGTAAGAACAGACATGTTTATCTTTTAACTATAAAATATAGCTTGTTCACAATTAATTCATAACCAAATGTAAGGAACCCTTGTTTAAAAATGTTTGGTTACGTTACTGTTTTTGTAAAATTGAATCTCGGCTGATATGTTAGCAGATTTGTTTCAGCTTCAAATATCCAGAATGCAGTTTTACAAAGTAGTATGTAAGTTAAAGCACTGAAATTATATAATTATATTTACAAAGGGGTACAAAAATGTATTGGCCAAGAGAAACCTAATATCTTCTTGTGCTAACTTCTTTTGTCATAGCTGCCACACCAATATATGGCAAAAAGCTTTAGTCAATTTTGTAAGAGTCATTTAACACTAAATCTACTATATCATTATACTATATCATTAATTGCCACTACAGTTGTTTGGCTTTTTCCCCATAGACAACCAAGTAATGCTGTCCTCTAGACCAAAATCTGTCTAAAAATCTGTGATATTGTACCCTATGCCCCAAAAGTGCAACGCCGCCTTTGCTCTCATTTTTCACTCTCTCTGCCACATAATGTCAGCAACCAGTTCAAGCAGGCTCAGTTCTTAATATTTGTCTTGGCTGTCAGTGAAGGTGGAGACTGAGGGGGAGGAAAGTTTTCCACTTCAAATTGTGCTTTCTGGTGGTTTCAATGCGTTTTTGAATATGTGAGAGAGCTAAAATCGGGTGGTCTGTGGGAAACTCTTGTGGGACCCCTACAACACAGGGAACCAGCCAAATGTGTCAGTAGGCTACTTTTTGGTAATTTATTTGTACCATAAGTGAACTGTCATCAGGGAAGAAATGTTGAACAACTAATAAAACTCTCTACAGTGAAGCAAAAACGTGGTAAAGCTTATCAGTCAACCTGCTATGTTTCCTGATTCTGTCACCTTTACCTAATTGATTTGCCCCATACCTCTCTTTTCCCGTTTTTTGACTACTACACTGATGTAACCACTGACTGATACAACAGCAACAGCAGCAGTGCTAATCACGACACTTGACAACGGTCACCAACACCTGTCATCATCCAATCACAGCTCACCCTCACACGCCTTAATATATGTTAAGTAACATTAAATGCAGCTACTGTGGAAATTGACAAAATAGCGGGATGTGAAGCCTCGTAGTGTATCACACTGTCAAACTTGACTCCATCTTGTGAAGAACGAAAGCTGAGATGATCACAGTGAATGTTTTAGGACCAAAGACGAGCAGGCCACTTTTTTTCCCTTATTTCATTGTGACAAAGTTGGCAACACTACCTTTACCAGTCGACAGTCAACATGCTAGCAGATTAGCTTGCTAGCAGGAGTGCTATATCTCAGCGACTTAGGTTGGTCATGGTGAGACCCTTGACTTGCAGATTGTAGCGGTTGTGTTGCTCTTGGAGTGAGCCAGGTTGGGTGACTTGTCACAATTGTTTTCTGACTGAAGACGTAATAGTTTGGCAATGCTGGGTCTGACTTTGGATTGATATTTATACACAGGAAACTAAAATACTAATGAGAAACTAAAGTTATAAACACCTTTTTGTTCTTTTACTCAGCTAAAAATATTTTAAGAAATTGTCTAATTTTACTCTTCGAAGACTAGAAACACCCCAACAACACACAGAAACCAAAGTCTGATGTGTGTGTCATGATAGAAATTCACCATGTATGGGACCACACTCAATTGTGCATATCAACTATAAACAGCAATTTGGAATATTGTGAGCTCAGCTTTCACTGTGATCATCCTTCTTCTCAAAATCACATGAAAGGCCAAGCTAGTGCAACTGAAACTAATCCTGTTACTCTGCTGCACCAGAAGGCCTGCTGAGGATTCTTCCACTTAGGTTTTTCACAGTGTGGAGTATCAAGCGATACCAACTACATTTGTTGTGTACTTTTCCCTTTTTAAGACTGAAACTCCATGGTTATGAGATGGAGATGATGTAAACACACTGGAGAGCAAAGTGTTGTGTCAAACTTCAAACGCATTCCTGATCGCTTACAAATTCCTGCCACAAAACATCACCTTGAGAAAAACAGGTTACAAACACACACACTCACACACACACACATACACACAGTGTAAGCAGTGAAATATTAATGTTACTGGTTCAAATATGTCCTTGGGAGATATCAGTCCCCTGACCAACACGCTGACCTGCAATATACAAACACATACTCCTTTTCCTGTGCTTAGAGTCCATGATCAGGAGAAGAACCACAAGACCTCTGTTGATGGTGTACAAAAATGCAGGGTCAGAGGTCAGAAGCTGCGTGGCACATGGCCGTGGCTCAACGATAACCACAGCAGAGAACCTGTCTGACACGATTCCAGGCCGTCCTCATCAGCTCTCGCCTGTCGGGAGCTCCAATATGAACCATCGGGCCACTCTAAGGTTAGCTTTGATGGAACAGCTGCTCTACATGTAAAGAGCTGGGGCTTGATGACATCACTCGAACACCTATGACCTACAGTCCTCGAACAGAAAATGAATCAGGGATGGAGGTCACAGCAGAAATGTGCGTCTTCCTCCTGGTCGCGTCCCAGTGGATACGAGAGTAAATCTGTCATATGTGCCGCCAGGATGAGAAAAAACAGTGAAGAAGAGCTGACGTTTGGAAAACAGGCATCGTCGATGGGACATGTTCAGGTTCCAGTTGGCAATAATTGGATGAATGCATTTTGTTTGGCAAGTCACAAGTGAGTCTAAAGTGTGGACAATGATGTCCCAAATCAAGTCCCAAAACCTAACTTTGTTTTGAGTTTTGAGTGCTAACAGAAACCATCTAGCAGCTAGCCACATGTGCAGGCAAAGTTATGCATAACTTTATGCCTTACTATAATTTAAACTGTTGAGTTATATAGACATTCACTCCCTGTACAGTTGCTGCCTGGTCCAAAGTCACCAGATTCATGACGAAGTACGAGTCTAATGTCAGTCTTCAGTAAAATGCACTGTATTTACCAAGCTAGCACTTTAAGCAAAAAGGCTTCACAAAGAACATAAGTAAGACTAAAACAGATATAATTTGAAACTCATTTATGGACAAAAATTAGCTTTTCAAACTCAACTTCCATCGATCCACTCCACAACCAAAAACAATCCTTTATTCTTCCACTACTTAACAGTCATTACAGTAGATCCCAAGTGCTCAATAGGAGGTCTGCGGTCGTATTCTGGGCTGAAATACGAATAAATCTGGACGCAGAACAAAATTCCAATACAACCTGACCCAGACCGCTTATCAGTGAATCATTGCTATCACTTCATACACTCATCTGTCAGCTGCTAGTAGCTGCAGTTAGCAAGCTCAATGTTGGAGGTAGGAGAGCAAGTTAAATGAACTTAAACGACATGTTCAAAACTGGCTGAACTAAAAAAAAAAGAAATGTTGACTGATAAAACCGTGTGTTAAGCATGAGTATGTATGTGCGTGAGACCCATGTCCTCATTTGCAATGATACAGTGGCCATTGTGAAGAGTAGTAAAACGCCACCACAACACCAAAAACTCCCAGAGCACAGATGTACGAACCACGAAACCTAACCAGCTGAAACTGAAGGTACTAGCAGAATAATTGTAAAATCAATCACATGTCAGGAGTGAGCAAAAGAATCAAACATTTTTACCATGAATATAGCCTCAAACTCATACCACAGCAAACTCACTAATTAGTGTCTCTCATCATACCCGATATTAATATGGCTTTTTGTTACAACTGGCAGTGAAACAGTTGTAACAAATAAAAAAAAAATAATAATAAAATATATATATATATGAATTGCATCCAATTATATTGTAGCCTGTATGAGATCAGATATCTGAATGTTATAAACCAATTACAAGATACCTGAATCCCTAAATCCCATAAGCAGGTGTGTTAACGACAGTGTTAGGACAGGTTATCTTAAGAGGCACTGTTAATGTGTAATAGTAAACTGTGACCTGCTAGTCCGCTGACCTACTGATAGTCTTCAACCTTTATCACAACTGTTGTTCATGTTAGGGTCATGATCTAGACAGACTGCAGACAGGCAGGCCTGTATCTTTTTGAAAGTCACCATTACAAATTGATGTGTGAACAGGCATCTGTTGCATGCATCTCTGAACTGATAACTCTCTGATAACTTGGCCAGGAGGTTCATTTCCTGAGCTATATGAAATTTATAGTCCTGTCTACTTCCTGTGAGACGTTTGACGCAGGACACACATTATTTCTTGGCTGCAAATGTTTCACTTTATTTTACGCTTAAAATGGATTTGTGTTACAGTACTGATTGGGGGCATTCCCACATAGCATCATCAGATATGGGACAGTCAAATTTACACAAATCTATTATCCAAATGTGAGTATTTTTTTGGCAAATGGGGCCCATGCACAGGTGGGGCCTTCTTGTGTATTAATCTGCCCCGAGGCACAGACACCAGCTGTGGCTTCTGAGGGACTTGAATTTTTTTCCCCATACCAGATCCCAAATAGTAAAACTTTGCTTTTAAAACTTCCTATTCTTAATCAGGATTTGAACTATTCTATTATTGTTTAATCAGAAGTTACAGAGTAGATTCTATATTTTAGTTTGATAAAGCTTTGAGCTCTTTCCTGTTATGAGCTGATGAGAAAGTTTTTGCATTATTACTAATATCAGTGTTTCACAGTTTCCAACATCCCTGACTGAATCTTTGCTGATAAGAAGTAACTAATTTAATCCCATTCAGCTGTTGGCAAAGCTGTAGGCTCTGTAATTACGTCAGTGGATTATGTTTTGATGGCATTAGGCATTAGGCATCCTGAGTTTCACTGTGGTGAGACGTCAGATTGGTCTGTCTTGCACATACATTTCTTATGTAACCTTTTCCTGAAGCTCTGTTTATTTCCATTTAAATTAAGACAGCTTGTAAACACATCATTGTGTGGAGAGCAGAGGTCCTGATTTCACACTGCTTACATTGCAGGGATGCCCACTACCTGTTTAAAAAAATGCTTCCACCCTTTCAGCAAACACTATCCACACTAACAAACACACCTTCTGTAACAAATGCAGATGTATTCCCCTCTCTCAGGTGGAGATTTCCACAATCAGGCAGTGCTTTGATTCTTCAGTCTGGGTTATAAATGCTTCTCTGTATGTGCAGGTTGAACTGAGCTCTACAATATAATATATAAAGTCCAGCCGACAAGCTTCATCTGCCCACCAGCTTGTTGGCACACATATTTTCTTTTTCGTGTGGCATTTCAGACAGTTTTTATTTAACAGTGGACAGTTTTGTGTAGAATTGTATGAAGGCACTGTGCAATTATAATTAAACAAGTTAAAGGGTCAGTGTACCCAAAATACATAAATGTTTAGTCATAGCAGCATTTAGCAATGTAGATGTTGGCTTTAAGTACTGAGGTTTTGTAATATCAGCCTCTTAAACATCTGCTGCCACCCTTGGTCAATGGAATGTTGTTTGTGGTGCTCTCAGCCCAGAGAAATTCCATTTGAACAACACTAAAGGCCCTATTCAAGTAAGCTCAATGACAAGTGCCAGAGCTCCAGTAATCCAATGTCTCCAGCATAAACCGGAGGAATAACGGACCTGTCTGATGTGTGCATGTCATTTGCATGTAATTAAATCAAGGCAAACACAGTGGACAGCCATGCGTAATGACATAGCATTTCATATACTATAAAGCAGCTGTAAACTCATATTAATTTATAGATCAATGCAGACTGACTTCGTCCCTGCTTTAATCACATTAAACATTACTTTGTGATGCCGATATAAATGCAGCTATTGGGGAGTATTAAATTAAAATAGTTTCTTCACATTTGAGTGATTCCAAAAACATGTGGACACATTACAACCAAAACACGAACAACTGGCTTTGCGCTGCCACACTTGACACAATCTCCCGCCTGTTTACGCTTTTCTTCCCACTCCGTGCACTGTGCATTCTGCATTGGACACCAAAATACCACACAGATGAGCAACGAGAGTTTCAAGGTCAGGAAAATACCAAACGATTGGAGCACTGTTTGCACTGGTCATTGTCCACGGCCAAGCTAGCATCTCAATGAGTCTGTACTTAGGCACAGAAGGGCTTTGAGTTAAATGCTCACAGTGTTGTGCTAACATGCTGATATTTAGCAGATTTACTATGTTCACCATCTTAGTTTAGCATGTGAGAATGCTAGCATTTGCTAATCAGCACTAATCACAAAGCATAGCTGAGGCTGATGGGAATGACATAGGTATATATGCTAATAACATGGCTGAAACATTAAAAGCAATGTGTCATTTACTCTTGAAGGTGTTTTACTTTCCACTTCCACAAAAGTAATTTTTACTCTATGGTGTGATGCTTCTTTACGTCTTACCTAACTGGTGGGTATTTCCCTTGTGGCTGAGGCCGTTGGTGTGAAGGGAGGCACAGCGGGACAGGGGGGTACAGCGGGTTGGAACCGGAACAAAGGTGGGGTCCAAATCTAAAATCAGCTGGTTCAGCTGCTCTATAGATTCGTCAATGTCTGTGTTTAATGCCTCCAGCTCCTCTTCCTGGCAAGACAAATTGTGCGTAGCGCTGACAGACTGTATGTTGTGTGTGACATCTGTGTTTTGTGTGACGCTGTGTGTGGAGTCCTCGTCCGCCAGCCCTCTCTGCACTGCCTCCCTGCTGCTGATTCCTCGAGATGGTGTGTCAGGAGCAACCAGAGGTGGCGGCCTCTTTTTTCTCAACCAGCTCAACCTCTCTTCCCTGTCAACTTCACAGTAGGTATTAGTCACAACATCAACCATCTGCTGCCGAACCCAGGAGTGTGTGGAGTACTCAGTTTGAGTTACAGGCAGGTTCTCGGAGGAGAGGGGGTACATTCTGCTTGAACTTGGCAAGTCTAAAGCAGGAGCTGCTTTACCATCTACTTCATCCTCGTCATCTAATATATCAGTTTCCCTCTCGCTTGACGACGCCTCTCCATTGGTAGTGTTTCCCAATCCAGACTCATCTCCAGTCATCTCCCCCTCCCCTCCACTGGCAGCAAACTCAGTCATGGCCTCCAGAAGAGGCTGAGCAATCTCAAAATCCACTCCAGAGACTAGCTTCCCTGCCTGGGAGCACGTGTCCTGTGCAGCCTCTCTCCTCTGTCTGGCTCCGGTTTGCCCCTGAGAGGCAACAGACAGGCCTGAATCACTGCTGGCAGATGGAGCTCGGTCACTGCAGCTGGGGCTGATGGTGGCCAGGGGGAATGAAGATCCTTCCTCACTACTCCTCTTCCTCACTCTGGCACACAAACTATCAGTTCCAGGGTCCAGGATATGAGGTGGAACTGTGAAGACAAAATCACTGTGGTCAGAATAAAGTTTATTTGTTGACAGAAGAGAGAAAACAGATGCAAATGTGACCTATTTGAAGCAAGTGTATATTTGGTGTCAGAAGTGAGGGGGACATGATGACAAACAAACTACTAAGTAAATGCTACTTCATATTTATGTTTCCACCTTTCTGCATTATCTTTTACTGACATTCAGTTTTTGTCTTTTTAGAAGAACATAATAATTAAACATTTTCAAACAAATAATGTTTGATAATAATGTTAATAATAATGTTTTTTTTCCTTTATTGATGAACTTGTTAATCATTTGGTCTACGAAATAATAATAAATCCATCACAGAGCCCAATGTAACATATATATATTTTTTAAAGTTTTAGTCGGACTAATAGGCCAAAACCCAAAGATATTTAATTTGCAATCAAGAAAACCTGTTAATATTCAGATGTCTTTAAAGATTCTTCTTCATCTAGGTCATAGTTAGTGGTGGGATAGTTATTTCACAATAGCTAATATTCACATATAAGAAGCTGGAACCAGATACAGTTTTTGATAATGTAATGTAATTGATCTAATAACAGCTCTAATATGGTTTAAAAGTTTTCCCCAAAAAGTGTGCTGGAGTTCCATGTGTATGTATGTAGCCTTAAAGGTAAAGCTCAGGCCAAATGTTTCACAAATTATCATCCTATTTTCTCTAATCTGGATTGAGGCAGCTGCACAGAGGATGCTGCTCAGAAATATTTTAGTGAGTAAATCAAAATTAAACTCTAAAATTTGAACTAAACTGAAGAGGTTCGTGGCGCATATGGTTCCATACCTGCACCACTACTGTATATGATTCACTATGACACACACACAAACGCACCACCTGTTGAACCACAGCCATCACTCCAGACACACTCCATGTAGATAACACAGAGCCTCTTTGTGTGTGCTGGCAGATGCATATGTGTGTACGTGTGTCACGCAAAGGATGTGTCTGTCACAGACGTCTACCTGAGGTCAGATAGAGCTGATTGCACACACATGCACACAAACATATTTTATTATACTTTAACTGTCTGTAGCAAGTTGGAAATATACTAGAACTGAAACAGTTAATGTATTTATCACTTTATTCAATCAGTGATTGTGTTTTGATAAATGATTAATTGTTTAAGTCGTTTTTTTTTTCAAACACAAATGCCAGCTGTTCTCTTCTTGTGCTGCTTTTTTTGTCATTTATAATTGTACATTAAATATTTTGGGGTTTTGGACAAAAAGACCAAACAAATAATCGTTTGATGGAAATAATTGTCAGTTATACCCGTAAAATATACTAGATTATATCTAAAACAGCAAGTTCAGTTCTGATAAAGGTTGTTACAGAGATAAGACTGCCTAGTACAGTGACTGCTACAATACATACAGTACATACCAGAGCAGTAGGAGCACAGCCTCTTAAGTCCAGAGAGGCAATAAAACTCAAATACCAGACATGCATGGTAAAATCTCACAGCTGGTCTATAAGGTCTCTCACACACACACAGATGCAGAGTACTACATTCACACACTGATAAACACACCATATAACTTCACAATACTTCAAGAACTTCATCACTTCAATAAAAAGACACACGCTACCATTCCCAACAAGCATCAAAAAGCAGCTTACTTCACCGGCAACCAGGAGTAAACTTTCACTGTTCCCGCTGAAGACTAGAAACAGGATGGAAATGCTTGCGGAAGCCTCCCTTCGGAGTCAGAGAAAGAGCAACAGATGACAAGCTGGAGGGAAAGAAGGACGAGGACAGAATAAAAAGGATGAGGGGACAGAAAAAGGGGGCTTAAAAGATTCAGACCAAGCTTAGTTGAAGTCTCCCTTCCCTCCTCTGCTGTCGTCCTCTCTTGTCTCTCAGGCTGCCACAGGAAGACAAGCGAAGAACATTCTTTCTCTTAAGGTGCTAACAGCCCCCCCGTGTGTCCCCCCCACCCCTCTTCCTCCCCCCTCTCATGTCACTCCTGCACTCCTTCCACGCCTGCTCCGTCCCTGCACTATGAATCCCCGCCTTCTCCGTCACTACAAAATTAGCCTTGCCTTGCCTCCTCCCTCCCCCCTGTCCTCCCCCTGCATCCTGTCCTGGCTGACACAGGTAGGTAATGTGGAGAGTGTGCGCTCATGCATTTTTATGTCTAAGGGGAAAGCAGTAGGAGGAAAATGAAGATGGATCATTCACTAGACTGCATGCAAGCACACACACACACACACACATGGAAGAGTTTGTGCACACATGATGCACTATTAAGTAAAAAAACACAAAGCACAAGGACCTCGATCTGGCCAAATATGGTGAAGGGAATGTAAACATGGGGGCGGGCTCTGGAGAGACTTGTGTGCAGAGGGGGGATGGGGACATATTGGACAAATTGCAACCTGCAACTTGAACCTGAAAGCAACACGCACCACTAGAATACGGGAGACAGAAGAGTAGATAAAGGGAAAGAGAAGAAAGGGAGATGGTAAAAGAAGATGGGGAGATGGAGGGAGATGGAGGGAGCGGGAGGGAGGGGAGGGGTGTGAGTGAGCTGAGAGGGTAAAGTAGAACCACCTGTGGTTGAAAACAACATTCTTGCAACTAGCGGCATTGCTAACTGGCTGGCATCCTCATTATGCTCATGGGTGTGTGATGGCGGTTAAACGTAATGGCCATGTGTGTTCGCATTCATGTGAGCGTTTACATGCCACTTTTCAGCATTTCTCTCCCAACGCTCGTCTATCTAAATTACATGGCTGGTGGAGCAGATTTAGCAATGGCATAAAACAGCTGGAACTGAAACCGCAACCGCCAGTTTAAGTGATTGTTTCAGCTGTCTGGATGTGTGTTTTTGTGTTTGTGTTTTTCTGTGTGTGAACAGTTATTCTAACTAAATGGAAACTCTTTGGAAAACAGCCACCTCCAAATACACAGGTCTCGTCTGTCTGCTGTCTGGATGATTGTTGTTACACCCATTTCCAGGAACGTGAAAGAGGCCTCTGTGACCACAACAGTTGTAAGCTGTCACAGTGATGACCAGACAATTACCCACAGCACTGACCACATAGAAGGCTGGAGTCCAAACAGAAAGTCTAAGACTGGATCTGCACCCACAATGGGATATAACCTCTGAAGAGCAGCCAGAGAGGCATATTTCTGGCCACGTGGGGGCAGAAAACCTCCACTACAAACAAAAAATAAATAAAAAGACGCATCATCTTTTAAAGTTGTTATGGCTGACATGATGGCAAACTTCCACATCCAGCAGTCACAACATAATCATTAATATGGAGTCATGTTTCTGCCCCCCTGATGAATTAAAGTCCAATATTCACTTTCTTTTAGCTTTGGTTCAGTCTCCACCAACTCCTGAAAAAAATCTAGCTCTTTGCTACTCCTTTTTCTTCACCAGCTAGTCTCTAACTGTGCCCATCTGCTGCTGGGCACGTAGCGTACAGCAGGTTAATCAGTGCTTGTTTATTCAAAACAGCTGCCTTTTACAGCTGGCAACACTGAGAATGAACTATAAAGGCCTGTAAATGTGCTATAAAACCAAAAACATGAGCTAAAAGAAGGTAAAAAAATCTTTAGGATTGAAGTTACATTGCAATATTTTAGATCATATTCTAATATTCATTAATTCTTCTGTCCATACGAAGTGCGCACATAAAGTCATCTAGTTATCACAGTTTACTAACATTCTCAATATTAATTAAAATCTTTAAATTCCCTCCATAAAAGTCAACCCCTCAGAACTTCTCTTAGAAAAGAACATTTGGAAAGTTGAACCTCTTCTCATGTGTTATGGCCATGGACACAGAAAGGTTATGTTAGAGCAGAGCAGACAAGTTTATTTAGTGCCCACAATGTGCTGTGTCTTCAAATACATTGTTTCCCTGTTGAAACCTGTCTAATAATTAAGTCACACCACAGGAATTCAAAACAATGGGGAAAAGAAAGTGAAAGAAAAAGAAACAGAATTGGGAAAGTGGGGAATTCCTGAAAAAAAAGTTGAAATGCACCTTACCTGTATCAAGCGAAGACGTGCCTTGAAATGAATCTCGTCTAACCAAAGGTTCCAAGGTGTCATAGTCCACCATAACACAGCGTCCGTTGTTCCAAAGCTCTCTGCCTGTACATGGAAATGACAAACAGACCAGCAGACAAAGAGGCAGCACTGGTCAGGAGTCAGTTAAACAACACTAAGACACACACACACACACACACACACACACACACACACACACACACACACACAGCCTACTACGAATGCACAATAACACAAGCTGATTTCAGATCTCATTCAAAAATTGATTTAAGTTACTAGTGTGGGCTTTAACGTGGGTTTTGCTTCCACATGTAGTTGACCGTCAGTGTCTGTGTGTGTGTGTGTGTGTGTGTGTGTGTGTGGTTTTCCCCGCCTGTCTGTACAGTATCTGCAATCTGAATTCCTGTCAGATGTGTGTGTGTGATAATCCTTCATATTACTTCCTGTTGAGAGGCAAGGAGTGTGATTGTGCATGCTGAGGACCAGTTTGGCTGTTACACCCTCCTTCTGGTGTCCAACACTGCCCCCACCTGGGTGACTGTTTGTTGAACTTGATGAATATGTTTTTCATTCAGGAGTAGTGTGTGTGTGTGTGTGTGTGTGTTCGCACGTAGGTGTACTGCTTCAGACTGAGTCATTTCTGTGTCTTCTGCTTGAATTAGGAGACACAATGAAGCTTGGTGCGCTCTTCGTTCATCATCATCATTTGTAGCCCAAATAATGTCTGTGTGCATGAGTGTTTATTGAGCATGTGTGAGTATGTACAGTTCTGGGACTCCAGGTGTTTGTATGCATCAGTTAGAGCCGTGGTTCTTAAAGTGGGGGTCATGGTATCACAAGATAGATTTTAGGGGCCGCGAGATGATTAACAGAACAGGAAAGCAAAAATGTAAAAAAAAAAAAAAATCCAATTTTCGAAAAGTTATTTTTTTAAAACAAGGATGTATAATTCTCCTGTTGAACTGGTGATGAGGGGCCTCTAGTAGACATTTCTTTGTTTTAAGCGGCCCCAATCCAAAAACGCTGGAAACCACACAGTTTCATAGGATTTTTTTTTTTTTAAGGTAAATGTAGATTTCAGGTTACTGTGCTTTAAAGTTTCAGGTCACCTAAATTATAAAAAAAGACGTATTGGTTTATCTCTAATGGAAATGCAAATAGTTTTGATTCTGTATGATGAAATATTGAGATATCAGGGTCCCAGTTACTCCGGATAATCGAAAGACTTCACAGTGAATTGTTCATTGGAACTAATTTCCAACAAGATAGTCACTATGAAAACTTTTGTACAAGTCATTGTAAACATTTAAAGCTCCTAGATGCTGAAATGTAATTATAGCAGTTTCTGAAGTTTTTGTTGGTAAAAAAAATGAAATAATCCTGATGTGCATGTGCAATCTGTGTGTTTCTTCATCTCAGGATCCCTGGGTTGGATCCATAGAGGTGGAGGGGTTTGGTGGTACCACAGATGGTTCTTAATAAAAACCTATTCAAACCTTCTGCACAAAGCCCAGTAGCTTTAGGGACAATTCATCACATTTTATGTAGATCAGTGTTGATAATATGCAGTGAAATGAAGCAATAAATTCCTCAGTTCTTTTATTTAGCCTACAGAGAAAGTGGAGTTCACCAAGTAGCTCTTCCTGCATCCAGCATTGTCATTTGACATGACAGTGATGCAGTTGGTAGCAAAGAAGAACTGCACGCAACTTAAGCATGAATTTTTAGCTTATGCCTCGAGGTCGCCAGAGGCATGCTCTAGATGCCGCTCTCTTCGCTTGTACATTACCATTACCATCAACCTCAGCTGTCCTTTGTGAAACTGTTAGCATGCAAACACGCTAAACTATGAAAGCCCTAAGAGGCCATGCATTCATACATTTTATTTACTCCGTTTTCCCGTGATAATGAGTATTTAATTTGTTTTCTCAAGATGTCGAGTTATTTATGTTATTACCTTGAAATAACAAATGTTCTATTCCCGGAGTAATGAAATAATTAATTTGACATCTGGAGAAAACAATAATGGATTAAAAATGATAGACCGGCAATAAAGCTATAGCCTTGCTAACGATCTTCTTATGACGCACACTAATGTGTATATTATCTGTATCTGCAAGGATAAAGCTAGTTCAGGCCTTGATTGAAGAGATATACTCCTGCTCCTCTGACATCGCTACACTGAATAATGTTTCCTGCAATCATTGGATAGCCTATCCTAGACTCCACTATTGTCATGTTTTCTCAAGATCTCAAATTAATTATGTCATTATCTTGGGGGAAAAGTCTTGTTATCTCGAGATCTCAAGTAAATTATCCATTTATCTCTGGAACACAACAATCGTTGTTTTGAGATAATGACAAAAATAACTCAAGATCTCGAGAAAACTAATTAAATTAACTCATTACCATGGCAAAACAGAGTAAAGGAAATGTATGGCCTCTTTGGGCTTACATACTACACTAAGATGGTATAAATTGTATAGATGGTAGACCTGCTAAAGATCATCATGTTAGTGTGTTAACATGCTTACATTAAGCTCTAAAACTCTGTGCCTAAGCATAGACTCAAAGAGCCCCATAGCTGTACTTTTAATCTTTTTTTCCGTTGAATAACAAAAGAAGTATGAAACCTTTGAGCCAATATACTTTGGGTCCTAGATCAAAGCTTGGCAAAACCTCTGAAGAACATCTGAAACTCTCTTCTCTGTTTTGTTATCCAGTTCACTGTGGCGATGTTTTATATTTGCCCTCTTTATGTAAGTGTAAAATGTAAAAATCATTGTGAGAGAAAGTCTACCTGTAATCTTTTCAGGGCTGTCAGAAAGGAACAGCTCCACTTTTCCATCTTCTGGGAACCGGGGATCTGGAATATTTTTTATAAAAATCAGACAGTAAACATAGCACACTGGGCATATTTCCATGTGTACTTCACACCTGCACTCCAGCAAATCTGATAAGAGGTCCAAGGTTAGTTCAGGTAGGTTATTTACTTTGGTGGTGGGCGGCAGAAAGGCTGAAGGATTTATCAGTTACAGATTAAGATTCATATTGCAGCAGAGTCGAGAATGATAGTATCTGAGCTGGCAGTGATGACAGAAGGTTAAAATACCTTCACTGGCACAGTCGAGGTCCGCCTTGGAGAAACTGAGGGTGTGTCCGTGTACAAGGCCTGTATGAAACTGGAGACGGAAGACAACCTGGCGGCTGACTGACCGGTTATCTTTGTCATAACAAACCACCTGAAATCAGAGAGAAAATGACAGTATGTGCAACTCTAATCCATGACAGTCATGCCTTTTTGTTACATAGTCAGTATATTAAAGCAAAATAACCAGTCAATTTGGTTAATGAATGAGAACTGTGGGAAGTTGTGATGTTTTTCTTAATATTTACGATGTATTTTTATTATTACTTTTTATATTGTGTGAGATAAATAGCCATATTTTAAGAACTTTGCAACATATTATTCTAAATTAAATGGTCACACTTTATTTTACAGGTCAGACATTTCAAAATTGTGTAAATGAATGCATTTTTGCCCCACAGCTAATAAGAGCTAAAGGCTGAATATAAGGGAACATGAACGGTTGACATTCAGACAAAAAGGCAAGTTGCTGCAAGGTTAGCTTCTAATGGCTCCCCCTACATGTCCACCCTTAATTTTAAACCTAAATGATTAAAAAAAAAAATGTTACCACTTACCATGATGTCCCCTTTGAGTAGCTGAGCGGGCTGGAGCACAAAGTAGAGCTGGTCTGTCTGGGCTGCGTTAACGTGGCTGCGATGGATAGAAACACACATTAAACGGCTGTATTCTATTCTGAAACACTGTGCCATGTTTAGAGTTTGTTATATGATGTCTTACTAGACTGCTGATGTGCAAACAGCCTGTAGACTCTGGTAGATTCTCAGGAAGAGACAGCATGCTTGGAAGAGGAAGAGTTTCAACATAAAAGTCAGCATTCATTTGATAAAGATGTTTTCTGAATTGTCAGAGAAGCATGTGTAAAGAAGCAAGAGTTGAAATCTCTGGTTATCAATCCAAAACGATTGTCCTCGATCACGCTGTGTGTGTAACATTGGAATTAAGAAAATAGAGGCAGTGCTATGGCCAAAGGTTGTGTTTTTGGCACATTAAAACAAAAGATTGTTGCCATTTGATAACATCTCTGTTGTTTGCTTTTGTCTGTTTACATTCTACCGTAGCGCCATGGTTCACCATTATTTCACAAGTCTTAAAATTGATATTGTACAGTCTGGCAGAGATTGTGACCACTATTTTATTAGACTCATTTCACACAATGCGGCATTTAGTGAAGCTGCAAGATCACAGTGTTTAGGGGGCTTCAAATCATGAAGATGAGGACTTGAGACTTTTCTCTCTGAATAATTCACTTGACTTGACACCCTATAGATCTCAAGTATTGATCTGGTTAACACAGAGAACAATATCCATACATGACCTCATCTCAGCTGACTCCAAAAGTAGTCTGGAATATGTTGTGAAATTTGTTTTACCTACCTGGACACAATTTGAAAAAATGAGCATCTGCTTTCTTTCTTCTTTCTTACTAAGATAAAAAGAACACAGTAGTCTCCCCATAGAGGGATTCTACAGTGGCCAGCTACTTTTATTTATCTACTTAGCTTCTTCTAATTCAGATCAGACTTCTGCTCCATACCTCCATCTGGTCTTATTTTGGGAAGGCCGTGAAGAACAACACAGAGGAGGAAAGACGGAGAGGGGCACATCCTCAGCCCTCCCTTTAATATGCTCCCCAGCATCCACACATACCTGGAGAGAAGAGAGAAATGCAGCCATGCTGTCTAAACAAAAGTATCTCAAATAACTTTATGATTGGATGAAAGTATGGTTGGGACATTCATTGAATTTCAAAAGCTTTGTTTTTCTTTATTACAGAAACTATTTCTCCAGAGGATAAATCAGTTAGTGACCTTGCAGTCTGAGGTCAGTGCTCATAGGTGATCTCATGGATCTACATCAAATGTCAGAGGCTAAGAATTGAACCAGAGTTGACCTTTGACCTGCTGTGATCCTGCTCAATCCACCACCTTCTTACCGTTTTTGCGAGGGGGTCATCAGAGCGGAAAGTTTGTCACTGTAGAACCTCCTCATGGCGAAGTGGTCAAGAGAAAGGCCTGCACTGAGAAAGACACATATATTCAAACATTACTCCGTGGTTGACTTTAAATACAAAATACAGTATTTTCTGACTTGCCTGAAGTACTGTATATATCTGCCTCCACCCCTGTAATATCCACTTTCTAAAAGTCACTGACCCAACAGTGGGCCAGTCAGCAAAAGCTCATACCGTGCAGCCAACCCACAGAGCTTTAATTCACTGATGAAGATCATGTGATGTGATAGAAAGCTCTAGAATAGCAGACCTTGTGGTGAGATTGTTTTCCTCAACTAATGTTTCCTGTACCATGTATCTTAGCTTTTAAGCCAACGGACGAGAAGCCTTTTAAGTGCTCAGAAAAAAACATGGAAATTTGAACATCTGCAACAACTGGGAAAACCTCATCTGGTGATGAAGAAGGAAAGTGATGTGATGCTACTACATGGACCTTGTGGTGAAAATCATTTCCCAACCACAGATTTTAAATACTAGTGGAGATCTCAATGTTTCTGTAATACCAAGTCCTGAGATCTATATTTTACTCCCCCGGTAGCTTAAATGAAGAGTTGATAGAGAGCATACTGATACAGATGTGATATGATATTGTCACATGGCACCTCCTAAAACATTGTCAGACTCAGAACCAGAGATCGTCAGTTCAGCCTTTGTGTGAGCTTTGTGTGTGTTATGCATTTGTAGCAGCAAATGTAGCCTCAAGTCACCTCAAGCCAGCGGGTGACAGAGGTCTGACCTCATTTCTTTCTAACACCACACCCCAACTGATGCTGACTCAAGTCACACTCAAGCCAATTTATCAGACTTCATGCAGCTCCCTCTGGAGCCACAAAACGCTTTATACAACTTTGTTTCACATATGCTGTCCCAAACTCCACAGACTTTGCTGTTAAAAATTGATAGATTTCCTCTTTTAGGATTTAATATTTAACAGCAATGTGTCTTTCCAGAATCAGCGTCCCCAAACTACTTTCAACTGAATAAATTGTCCACATGACAATGATTGACAGTGTGTTCTGTGGATTTCCTAGAACAACAAGGAAATCATTTATTCAATATGAAATTCATCTCCATTGGCAGGAGAACAACAATCAAAAACTCTCTGCATGACTAGATACCACCAGAGGCAAGTAAGTAAATATGGTTGTCTTTTGTCACTTGGGGTGAACTGACCCTTTTAAAAAAAGGTCATGTCAGATTTCATTGACAAATCTTTGCATACCTGCACTCAGTCTCACAAGCCCACAGATCATTCTCAGAGGGACAATGGTCACAATCAGATATTTCTCAACAGTGAGTCAGCTGTTCAGCCATGAACAGCATGCACACAGAAACACACTGTACATTTTCAGTGGTTCACTGATTTGCCTGGAACTGACCTTTCCCTTTATCCCATTGTTAGACACGGGTGACATTTAGACCGTAAAATAGATGCTATGTAGCCACATAAACCGCAAAATGTGGTTTGCTTTAAGAATGCCTTTGACTTAAATGATTAATGTTTTGTGTCTTCTAGTCCCAGACTCTGGTAAATTAAGAGTAAATAAATTCACTGGTGTCCAACAGTAACAGGATCCCTGCTCTTTAGATCTCTTCAATCAGCTGTCCTGCACTTTGCCTGGTGGAGACGTACAGTAGATCAGCCTCTGTTCACTCTGTCTATTGTTCTGTCAGTGATCTTTGATCTGCAAACATGTCCAACGGGAAATGTCAATAGTCTGCCATTACTTTACAGTCACAGCTCCCTTTCACTTAGGTGGAATCTTGAACCTGGAATACTAGTGATTGTGTGCATAGGAAGAGAAAAACTCTTTGATTAATTATACAAATCAAACCAGACTTTAAAGTTTAAGATGTTGAGAACTTTAAGGCCATTAGTTTCTTCTAGATGCTGAACTGTTCATTGTTAGATAGGAAAGTTTCCTTATGCATGAATTCACAAGCATATTTCATAAAAAAAAAAAAATACATGTTATACAAATCTCTGCAAGAATAAAAGTTGAACAATATGTCTGAATGTCTGTGCATGTTCACCTACATCCAGCCTTTAGATCTCACTGGTTGTGGGGGGGAAAAATCATGAATTTACACTATTTTGGGGTAAATATACTGTTTATTTTTACTCTTATAGGCTGATCTCTTTATCTACTTATTTGTATTTAATGTGGGTCGAGATGTCCCACATTTAATCCAGGGTGGTCCAAGTGCGTCCTGATCGGCTTAATATTTTTATAAGTTTTTTTGCCACACTAGCAGCACAGCTGGGATGACAGTGTCAGTCAGCTGTTAGTCCACCACTTTGGTACAGACTGAAATTTGGTTCAGGCATTCATGGTTTCTGCAGGATGAATTGTAATAACTTCATCAACAAATCTTAAGTTGCCCAATACAAAACTAATAAATATTCCATCAGCTTCCCTCTGTATTTAGTGCGAGCATGCTGATGGTGAACATCGTGACATTATGCTAGCATTTAGCTTAAAGTTCTGTTTTGTGTAAGCATAGCCTTACTGATCCATTAGCATGGCTGTGGACTCCTATTCTTCTTTAACAGTGGGTTGTTGTTTATTATCATCATTTCCTTTGGTTTGCAAATTTACCATCATTTACCCCTAAACCATTTGAGCAAATTCACAAGGCATCGGTGTTACCTGGATGACATGTTAATGAAGTGGATATAAGAAGCCAGCAGAACTCCAAGCCGGCCTTTACCTCCCTGTGAAGGACAACCACGGAATCAGGATAAATAAGCTTTTACAGAACAGGTCAGTGTCAGTGTGTGCAGAGGAATCAGGGACGTTTACCCTGCAGTGTAACACCAGGACATGCTTCGGATGTGTTTTCAGCCAGTTCTCTATCATTGTGCACACACTGAAGATCTGATCCAGGTTGGGAGCCAGGAGATCCACCCAGCCTGTGTCCACAACCTGATATACAAACCACATATACATACATTACTGTAACATTCATTACACTGCAATATTTACACTCTCAAATTGGTACTCTGGAGTGTTATTATTACCTTGTGGTTCATTTGAGTGAGACTGTCATTCTTCTGTGAGAGGTTGATGAGCTGAAGAAGGAATTGTTTTCATAAAAAGGGAAAGAACAGTATAAAAAAACAGCAATCTAAGAGTTTTCAATTCTATTCATTATTCTTAATGAACATTCAGTATATTTAGCACTTTTCTTTAAAGCCAATGTGACAAATGTGCAGTTTAAGAAACACGGTGATGAGGATGTAAAAAACAGTTACTGGGGCACATTATAAATCCACAGTATATAGGCTTTTGGGATCAAATGTCTCAGTGTTAAACTATTTCAGCTGAAATGTTTATATATTTTATTTTAATTAATGTTTTGTTTTGTATAATGTTTTCACGCTCTAATGTATCATAGTTCTTGTATTTACTCAAGTCTCCCTTAAAAAAGCAATGTCAATCTTAATGGGACTAAATGTGATTAAGTAAAGATTATATAAATAGTGGAAAAGTTATAGTGAGGAACTGAAAATGTATAGAGCTCTTTGCAAGTTTAAAAAAATATAAATAATTATATTTACAAATATATAAATATATGATCAAAAATATCTTTCTGGTATTAGTATGGTAAGTATATTTTAATTGAGAGTTTTGGCATTAAACACATTTTTATTTGTAGGAAGTGTAGGTGCAAAAAATTATTTGTATTTTCTGTTGGGTTTAATGGGCTTTCTTTTACCTTTACTTGAGAACAAATTCTGAGGGACTTGCACTTTACCTGAGTAATTCTATTTTATTCTACTTTATACCATACTCCACTACATTTCGGAGGAATTATTATTTCAAATATGGTCAACAAATAAATTCTGACGTATTATTATAAACTAAACTACCCAGCTGTAGTGTAATGTAAGTAGTTAACATGGGTCCTATCTTTACAAGCCGCAATATTAAAATTATACGTACATTTAATGCATAAATAATTATAATCCAATAGTATAATATATTATATTATTCTCAGATGGGTTAATCTGCATAATGAGTGTTTTTATTTTGGTACTTTTACTTAAGATCTGAGTACTACCTCTGTCACTGTTTGTTCTCACCATGTAGTTGTGTCCATGTTTGGACTGCAGCATGAGAATAATCTCCTGCAGGCTTTGCAGGTAGAGCTCATCTGGATATTCAGGAGGGCAGAATATGGTGATGATGCGTTCAGTGACGTAGGTCAGATCAATCCGCTGTGGTTCCTCCATGACTGATTTCGTTCACGTGGACGCCCTACTAGAAGTGGAAAAAAAAAGGTCACGGAAAATTTATTAGGGAAGTGAGAATTTTCTCTGCAGGTCATCAGATGTTTGCAGAGCATTTGTGCCGTATCAGCTAGAACTCCCAAATGAGGCAAATCACCGCACAGATATGTGAGTTCAAATCCGGTCAGCCTAACTAATCCTCAAATCCTTTTACGGGATGTGATACTAAAACAAAGTGGGGTCAAGGCCAAAAACATGAGGAACTGAACCAAAAGCTTAGTCACTGGAGCCCCCCATTGAGCTTGGGATTGGAGGAAAGGTGATGATGAGTCAGAGAAGAATGATGCTGCCCAAAAACAAGATTGTGCCCTTATTACTCATCAGCACAAACCCACTAAACTAAAACACAAATTTTGACAAGACAAAACCTTGGAGCTATGAGGTTATATCTGACTTTTTTTATTTAAAAAAATCACATGACTGGAATGTTTTGAGTTGTATGCTTTAAAGGTCCGATAATTTGAAAAAAAAACTCTTAACTTAGTCATCACTGTATTTCTGTAATTTTGTTCTTTAAAGTTCCAACTACGACGCCAAGGGAACCGATCCAGCCTCTTTACCATGCTGCCTCAGGATCAGGTTATTATCTGTGATAAAATTAACACAGCTGGAAAGATCATGAAATTGTACTCATTGGAGGTTTTAAGATGACTGTGTTAATGGTGAAAACAATAATTAACCAAAATCTTAAAAGAATATTTAGACATTTTTCTCTTTTGGCAGAAAGTGAGATGTTTTAAACTAAATTTTGTTGTTAGTCCACTAACAGCCAGCAACTGGTTAGCTTAAAGTTTTACAGGACCGTTTCTTGGCACGAAACGGTCCTTAAGATAAAACCATAATTCTTCATTTTTACACTATGGTTTCTGTGGGAATTAAACAAAAGCAATGTAAATTTCAGTTGTAATTTTTAGAGGTGCTGGTGGGCAGATTTAGCAGAAATAAGAAGAGAAGCATTTCTGGAACATAGATAGATAATATTTTTGTTTCCACAACCTGTACACAAGAACAGGAACCGTAAAGTAACACAACATCATCGACAAAGAACACAGTACAGTCACAAGAACATGGGTCAACTTGAGTGTTACTAAAGTTTGTTAAGGGCAGTGATGGCAGAGGGTACGGAGCTCTTACTGTAGCGTGCTTTGTAACGGATCATAGATTTGAATGTGCGTCCACATGGTGGATAAGTTAAGCATGAGTTCGGGGGGTAGCTGGAGTTGTGTGCTCTGTAGTAATTGCTCTGCGTGTGACGGCAGTGGCAATGAGGGCCGGGAGCTTGGAAGTAGGGAGACCAATGATTTTAGAGGCATTGTGTGGGATTTTGAGGAGTTTGCTCCTGCTGGTAACAGTGAGCGTGGTGAAGTAGCACGTGGAACAGTAGACGAGATTGGGTTCTATGAGTGTGACTGAAAGTGCCCTGAGTTTCCAGATGGCGAACAGCCTCTGTTGGCAGCGTTTATGGATGTCGGTACTAATGTGATGATCAAAGCTGAGTTTATTGCCAAGGGGGATTCCAAAGTACTTGAAGCCCTCCCCCATTTCAACATTGCATTGCTTTAAAACTTTAGCAATTGTAATGTCAGTTCTATCACTGAAAATGTTTGATGCAACCAAATGTTTAGTGTTTTCTTTGCAACATGTAGCTGAATTTCTGCATGTGCCCAAATACCTTATAACTCCCTTTGACCAGGGCAGTTACATGCAAGTTAGTGCATGTTTGTGGCAGTGAGATCACCAGACGGTAGAGCAGAGGAGTGCACAAAGAGCTGTGGTTAACCTCGCCTTCACCCTGACCATGTGACCACAGCAGAGTAAACAGCGATAAAACCATTGTCACCTAAGCAATGTACAGGAATTACCTACTGGGAACCAGTGCAGCATGAATGAAAGCACACTGTACTTCAAGATTAATCCTGTGACAGGTTTCCACCTCCAGAAAACAGGATCTATCAATGAGGATTCTCAGACACCCAAGTACTGAGTCAAAGAATTTGCTTCACTGGCTTAAAGACATTTTGTCACTCAGTTCACAATTAGGATCATCTGATTACTATTGATATGAGTAGATTTATTATGTTGGTGACCCATTGTGGGTGCTGATATTATACCGTAAACGAAATGTAGTTCTGTTCTATTGTGTTGCAGTCTAGTGTAGCAATTCATCTTTTTGTTAAATATAAATATTATAAATAAATAATGTAAATGTTAATTATTTTTGTTTGACTAATTAATGGAATATTCTGTTTAATGGTGTGGTTTGAGGATATAGTGATATTTCAGTTGATATTGGGGCAGTGTTTTACAGTATCCACAAACAAGATTCCTAATGGAAAATCTAATAACTGAACAGAATTTGAATTGAATTATTTATCTTTAATTTAACTGATCATGAAATCAACATTCTCAGAATAAGACGCACAGCAGAATTGTACATTTTGGAGTATAAACGACTGGGGCAGTACAGTACTGTGTAATTATGTGCTGTACCCAAAGTCCCCAAAATGTACGGCTGGTGGCATGGTGGTCCATTGGCTATCACTATGGCCCCACAGCAAGAAAGTCTGAGGTTCAAACCCGAGCCGTCCTGAGCCTTTTTGTGTGGAGATTGAATAGAGAATGAATTTCGCTACATGTATGTGTCATAATAAAGTACCTTTATATTGAGAAAATCATCTTTCCTAATTTTTTATATAATTTCCTTACTTTTCTGTCCCTTCAAAATCGACAGACCAGTCATAAACCAATAGGACTCACTATTGCTATGACAAAGACTCACCTGAGTTCAAGCCAAAAGCACTTCAGCTGAGGACTGAGCCCGGGAATCTGCCGTTCGTCTGTGCCTCCCAGGCACCTCAATCAACATGCTGCTGACTTTTCTAACTGTACAGTATACACTACTTTTAGATGAGGCTGAATTAGTACAAACATGTGCCAAGTAACAACCACCTTTATGGTTCAGATGGTACACATCTGGAACCCAGGCTTGTCAGGGGTACGTGTGTGAAAAATGTACATTTCAAAACAAACATGCATTCCGCTTGTTCTTCTGTTTTTGAGAGTGTCTTGTGTTTCCTCGCTGAAACAGTTGACAGGGTTGGGCAAACAATCTTAATGAGTGACTACTCTCCAATTATGTATTTCTGGTTCGTTTTTTTCAACATTTTTAGACTGCTGCAATCTAAATTTGTCAGAGCTCCGCCTGAGGAACCAAAACAAACGGAAGTGTGTGACTTAACCACACGCACACATACATTTACTCACATGTTGCTATAGGGAGAGCTGCTTAGCAAAGTCCTTGAGCTTAAACTAGCCACATCTAATTATAGACTCCATTTTCAATTTTACAGGAAGGCATTCCAAAATCTTTGTTTCGTTTCAAGTTGGCAGTGAAAAACATCCTCTGCTTTCTTAAATGAAGCAGGAATAGAGTTGTTTGGTAATTCAACTGACAGGTTATTTGAAATTAAAAGTGCAAAATACCAGAACTGAAATTGACAGCAAAACCTCTCTGTGACCAGCTATTGTTTTGTGTGACATCCTCCGGTGTGTTACACCCGCTGTTTTCTATCCAGATCCTCTTTTTCCGTTTCCCTGAAAGCTTTTTTATTAGATCACTAAACTAATCTCCCTTCAGTCCACCTGATCCCCACAGAGACTCCTTTTGAGTCATATATTTTTTCACAAATGCATTGAATTAAATCCGCCAGCAGGGTGAGGTCATTTCATTTTATACTACTGTTTAACAGATATGTCAAACAGTTAGTACTCAATCTCATCAATATCAAATTCATGTCACTGTATTCAAGGAATATTTTGTAGGAAGTTCATTTGCATTGTTAATAGGTGTATCACCCCCCCCCCCCCCCCCACTGGCAGGGTTTTTCACTTGTCCTAAGAAAAGCAGGCTTTTAAGGCTTAATGCAAGATTAAATGGCCTCTTAAAATGGACTGAATCCCAGTAGAAACACGTCTCATGGGGTTCACTGTCTTAATATGTCAGTAGGCTAAGCTCCCCCTCTCAGTGCATCTGCAGGGACACTTTTTTTCACTCTTAATCCCTCCGAATTTACCATCCATCACATGTTCCTTTGTTTACTGAAAGCGGACCAGCATCAGTGTGTTCAAGCAAAGAGAGACGTTATGTCCAGTGTGTCCTACATGAATGAACAATGAACTGGTCATTCTGAAAAAGTGAGAAGCCTCACGGGAGTAGGATTAACATTACTTTTGTTCAAACTTTGCTGTGAATCAAGTCTGCAGAAGGAGAGAAATTAAACATTTTAGACAACAAGGAATAGTCTTACCTTTGCCGGTGTAAACAAGAAGTCAATATCAGTGCAATATGAAGCCAGATGAGTGAAAGTCTGTGTGTGACTGGTAAAGAAAACGAGGTGGAGACCTGACAGGGGGAGGGAGGAAGCGAAAGAGAGCAAGAGAGAGTGTGTGATAAACTTGCACTTTGCCCTCTGTTGGATTGTAATGTGACAGCAGTCCACCTTTGGTGCGCATGTGAACGTGACAAAGACTAAGACAGCTTTAACATACTGCTACCTCTCTCTTTAAAGCACACATTAGCACACACAGTAGCTGATTTAACTGATCTCCACTCTATCTGTGCTCAAGACAAGAGAAACACAAAGCTTTTAATAACCTTGTCACACACACAAATTCATGTGTTTTATATCACAGACTCTCATCTGACAAGGGAAACTACAGAGAATCATGTGAATAATTTATTATATTACTGTGCTAATTAGCAGCGGTGGACTAACTAAACACATATCTACTGTACTCTACTGTACTGTACAGTACAAATGTCAGGTAATTGTCCATTTTCTTTGTACTTCATGCTGCATGGGAAATGTACTTTTATAGGGATTAAGGTTGTATGTAAAAAAAGAGGGTTATGATCATCTTAGAAAACTTGAGGCTTAATTATGCTATAGATTAAACTACAAAATTAGCCTACTTGTAATGGGCTGTTTTTATACTGTGTTGCTGCTACTTTAAATGAAGGATCTGAATACTGCTGATCTGCAGGGAATAACATAAAAAGTGGTTCTTCACTTCAGGAGTTGCACGCTGCCATGGTGATACGGCCTTAATCCCACTAGATGGTGCCAGAAGACGAGTTACAGCTCTTCTGTGCTCAGGTTACTTGTATAAATGCAAAACTGTACAGTGAACGGTTAGCTTCATTGTATAAATGTACAGAATAAAACATTATTAAATCAAACATATTTTTAATTTACAAACATACTCCGGTAACTTAGAGCTAGTCAACCAAGTAACTCCAGTTCATGTTGCCTTCACTAGCTCTTTTGAACACGTACTTCGTGGCTTCAGTGGTTGAAACAAATAACTTCTCGCGCAGTCATGTCCTTTGTGGGGAAAAGATTATAAGAATCAGAATCAGCTTTACTGCCAAGTACTTTTACACATACAAATAATTTGCTTTGGCGTCTTGGTGCATAACAATAAACATGAAATATAAAATATAAAATGGACAAGATATACAGAGATATGAAAGAATAACAAAGAACGTGTACAGTATGGCAGTTTCTGCATAATAAGCAAACATTTACATAAAGGTGTTTGGACTGACTTACAAGGATCGTGGCACATCTTCTCTTTCTTATATTTAGCCTATTGGAATATCAAAATAGATGACAACCCATTATCCACCAAATCATACTAGCACTGTAACTAACAATGTTTAACATTTAATCTGATGGATATTAAACCCATATATTTAGCAACTCTTTAATTATTAATAGACAAATGGCTGTATTTTCACCTCTCTGTTATGTCTGCCATAAATAGACCTGCACTGTTTTGCGATCTTGATTGAAATTATTCCTTCTTATTCTTTTATATTTTGTCAATTTTATATTTAAACAAATTATCTCTCCCTGTAATATGTTTGGACAACACAAATCCAGAGTAATGCACATGTAAAACAACAACCACATAGTTTTGTTTTTCTTTTACACATACAATTCTTTTATAGCTTGCATCTGCTTAGCTTAATCCACATCTATGTATTACTAAATATATAATGTATTTTTATCCTTTTGATTTTTTTTTATAGTTGAGGCATCTGTTGTTAGCAGTGCCACTTTTATATGTACAATCATTAAAAGAAGTTCAATCAATCAATCAATCAATCAATCAATCAATCAGACTAAGGAAATGATCAAATAGGCCTACATGCATTTAAGAAGCTGAAACCAGTTAATCTATCGGCTTTCTTGCTCTCTAAATCAAACAACCCATGTTGAGAAGTCGGATCCTCTGTCATGTACACAGCTTTATAAATTCCGAGCTTTCGGGTGGCGCTTGAAGGCGTCATAATTCATATCCAATGAGACCCCGCCCTGGCCGCCGTTTACCGACCGTCTCTCCCTCATCTGTCAGAACAGCAGCAGTCGCGCATACTCGCGCTTTCTCCCATGGGGACAAACTAGAAACGCATTTTCTCACCTCGACCGGCCGGTTAGCTCCTGTGAGCGAGCTAACGGGCGTATTATGAAATGGGATGATGTAGCGGAATAACTGTTTGGGACGAACCGCGCAATACTTTAGCATGCTAAGCTAACGTGGAGCCGAAGCCAGTGAGCGAGCTAACGGCTGTTAAGCTAACGCAGGCTAGCATTCACCTGCAGGCTGCTCTTGCTAGCTAACAGGATGGAAAGTGTGAAGGAAAACGAGTCTGGGGCGCTTTCAACTTCATCAACACCACAGGGGATACTTGATCCTGGCGGTGACAGCGGTTCCGTAAAGCCAAGTGGACTAACACCGATGTCAGCGGGAAGGAGACCCTCCACCGGGGAGGATGACGGTGGGGGCGCAGAGGCGAAACTCTTCGGGAAGGGACTTGCAGCCACCTCCCTTCTTCAGATTGCGATAAGGAACGGGATCTATCAAAACCAGGTTGCAAACGCTATCGGCGGTGCGGCCAAAAATATAAACATACCTGCCGTGAAAACAGCCAACATTTACAGCCTGACATCAGTCAACAGCACCACTTCTGTCAACTCTTTGCTGAGCAGGAGACGGCAGAGACATAAGAGGAATCTGTCGCTGGGGGCTCCGCCGACCAGCTGCTTACCTGGTGGGTCCCCTGCGGAGGCGGTAAGTCCCGCTCCCTCAGCCTCTCCGCTGAGCACCCTCAGCCTGGATAGGAGGACTTTTCTTAGGCAGAAGCAATCAAAGCAGCTCCAGGCCTCGGATAAGACATGGGTGAGATCGGACCTCCGGCGGGGCTGCATTCACGTCCACGACTGGCTCACGCCCTCCTACCCGCGGCCGGTGCTCTGCACAGTGGACACCACGGCTGGAGAAGTAGCCAGCAAGCTGGAAGCGAGCAAAGCTGGAGCTGTGTTGAGAATTAACAGCAAAGCCACTGCTTTAGTTGACCTAAATGATAATTGTAAAGATAGCAATGGACAGACCGATGAAATCGAAAGTCTCAGCGACAGTATGGATGTCAAAAACCCCAAAGCAGAAGAGAATGAGCACACAAAACAGCATTATCCTGATATCAAACTGTCTTCCAACTTGTTGGATTATAAAACCACAAGTAACTCTTCATCTGAGCTCTGTCTAAACCACATTGGGGTGGATTTGAGCCTGGGTGTGGCAGACTGTTATGGTGTCTACTCTGGTTCAGATATGGAGAGCAGCACCTGTGAGGACTTCAGCCCAGGTGGACCAAGAAGCACAGAGCTCCGGGACTCTCTCAGTGATGGGGTGGGCCTGGGCACAGACTCCTCAGCATTAAGCCCAAACTGTGACAGCGCCACAGAGGGAACTGACCCGTTTGAGAGCTCCTCAGATGAAGTAGAGCTCACCTCTTCCCCAACACATTCAGCAGGCAACTCTGCTGCCGACCAGCAAGCAGACCTGCCTACCACAGACCCCTGCAATGCTTCCAGCCAAGTGACAAACACACTAGATGACACTGAGGCCGGAGCTGGTGATAACGTAGATGCCCCCAAATTAATCAGACCTCCCTCTAAATGCCCCAGCAGTTCTCAGGCTCGGCCTCTGACCAGCCAAGCATCTGTCCAGCCTGACCTGGAGATCCCCGTGGGGAGCAGAGGATGGCCCGAGCCCATCAATACTAGTCCGACCCCGGCTCTCTTCATCCAGCTGCATGGTGGAGCTGTGCAGCGTCTGGCAGATGATGAGAGGCCTCTGCAGATATTAAATGAGTACCTCACTAATCTGGGGTTTGAAGACCCATGGAGGGTGCAGGGGGAGGCGATGAATCCAGAAATTGGCTGCCTGATACGCTTCTACTTTGGTGAGTACTTGGTCTAAGTTGTAAAACCATTCTCTGTAAATTAGTGATGATTTATTCCTAATGAAAGCAAGCAAGTATTATATGTCTGGACATTTATATCAGTTTTCTTATCATTCTTTTCCGATGATACAGTACTGCAGCTGTCAGAGAGCCACTATCTGCTGGTGACACCATGTCACTTTAGTTGTGCTGGGTTTGTCTCTGCGCATTCATTGTTCATCCATTCTCAGTGTACCATGAGCGCTGTCATTGTGTTTGGTCAGTCAGACTGTTAAACAAGAGTATTCAATTGTCTTGGTGGGACAATGCCCAGTGTTTAGCCTGTAAACCCACCCAACCCATCTGTCTGTAGGCCTATAGGGAGAGACACATCTGGAGGCGACAGGTGTGCTCTTCTGGCACACCTGTCACCTGGAATCATGAGGCATTATGGATTCTGTTTCTTTTCTTCTGCTGCTGCAGTTGTTGTTGTTGTTAATGATAAAGCTCATGTTTTGCTGACAAGCAGGGTAAGAGGATGGAAAAACAGCCCTGATCTCTTATGGGATTAGCACAACTGGATTATTGTTTTTGACCTTGTTTTTAACACCATCAGCAAAGACAGTGGGGATAAAAAGTTGTGGCGTGATGACGGAGGAAGAAACAGAAAAACATTTTAACTAAAATGAACATATTCCCTAGATGATTTAACTTATGTTCTCAATCCTTTTTGCAGTTTCCCACTCAACTTGTCTTCTTTCAGGAGCATTCAAGAACACCTTTTCTTTTCTTTGCTTCCTTTTGTTATATTTGTTTTATACAACAATAATTTCACCATTAAATATACTATTACTACACATACCATTAACCTAGAGATATACTCAAGATGTAGCACAAAACGGGCTTTCCTCCACACTTACACGGAGAGCTGGACAAATTACCCCCCGACCAGCACTCTTGGCTCCCACAGTAACGTGACAGAGGGGAACAAAGCACGGCGTGCAGTCAGCCCGCTGAAAGCAGGGGCCCGTCCAGCCACTGCCGACTAACACACAGCCGTGAAACAAGCAGCGACAGGCTGGCATGACGGGGACAATTATAGAGGAGAAGTG